AGTGCTCAACCACTGAGCTATACTCCGCCTTTAATATCCAACTTTAAACCACTGTTTTAATATGAAAAGTAATCACATTATCACATAAATTGTGTCTTCTCTACAAAAACAACACCATGACATCAAGGCCTGAGTTTTACAATCGTATAACTTTATTGAACTAAAAAATGGTGTTAGGAGAGCTCAGCTCTAATGAATGAAAGAAAACATGTTAAGGATCTCAGAAATTCATAGAAGAGATGATTACAAAAATAGAAAATTATAGCCAAGCATGGTGGCGTGCACCTGCTATCCCAACATTTGGGAGGCTGAAGCAGGGCTGCTGAGAGTTCAAGACCAGCCTGGGCTACATAATGAGTTCAAGACCAGCCCTAACTACATAGTGACACCCTGTTTCAAAAACTAAAAAATAAATAAAAGAAAGAAAAAATTATACCACAGACTTTGGTGACAGTTTCCTATCTATACTTAGAGCAGAGGGACTCCAAGTATGGAAGTGCTCCCTATCCTACCTAGAAAGGAGGCAAGGAAGGTTTCTAGGGAGAGGTGAGAAGTAGACCCTAAGCCTGGCAAGGGAAAAAGGTTGTTTCAGGCAGAGGAGGGAACAGCATTGACTTATTCAGTTTGATTTATTCACCACTCTTCTCCTGCTCAGTGGTACTCTGTAAGGCATGGAAGGCAAGCATCTGCCGATTGGGCTGGCTTTCTTTTTTTTCTTTTTGAGACAGGGTCTCACTATGCAGTTCAGGCTGGCCTTGAGCTCACTTTGTAGACCAGTCTGGTCTCAAACTTGCAACAGTTCACCTGCCTCAGCCTCCTGAGTGCTGGGATTACAGATGTGCACCACTATGCCCAGCTTCCTGGGGCTGGCACTTTTGATCTTTAGTTTTCAAGGCTGATTATTTTCCGGCAAAGTCTTATTTGGGGGGAAACACTGACCCAGCCTCCAACCTGTTTTCTTTGTGCAGTGCTAACATGTCAGATAAACCAAGACTCAGAGAACAGATAGGTTATAAGACTTGAAGCACCACACTTAATACACTGCTTGTATACATTCATAGTTAAGAGTGTTTTGTTTTGTTTTGTTTTGTTTTTGTAATGGGGGACTGAGCCCAGGACAATACCAGTAAGCTATATCCTCAGCCTGGTAGTGATGGTGGTACTGGAGATTGAAACCAGGGTCTTTGCACTAATCTGCATCTCCAGCCATTTTTTTATTTTAAGACAGAGTTCACTGAATTGCTAAATAGAGTTTGAACTTTCAATCCTCCTGTCTCAGCCTCCCAGAGTGCTAGGATTACAGGTTTCTGCCACCATCACTGGCTTCTCTTTTTTCTTTTTTCCTTTTTCTTTCTCCTTTTCAGACAGGGTCTCTGTATGTAGTTCATGTTGGCCTTGTACTCACTGTGTAGTCCAGGCTGGCCTAGAATTTACAGCAATCCTCCTGCCTCGGCCTCCCAAGTGTTGGGGTTACAGGCATATGCCACCACACCCCGCCTGGCTTGTCATTTTTTGACAAGTATCTCACTATATTGGCTAGGCAGGACTTGAATTTGCCATTCTCCTGACTTGGCCACCCTGAGTGCCAGGATTACAGGCATGTGTCACTGTGCAGTTTTAATTGTTTTAAAAATCAGAAATTGCCAGGCATGGTGGAACATGCCTGAAATTCCAGTACTTGGGAGGCTGAGCCAACAGGATTGCCATGAGTTCAAGACTAGGCTGAACTACACAGACAGCCTCTGAATAAATAAATAAATAAAAGCAACCTGTGATTCTAGACTGTACTGAACCAGAAAAAAGGTATGGATGTTTTTCCTCAATAAAGACACTATAGGACCAACTAGCAAAATCTAAGTAAGATTTGTAGACCAGAAAATAAAATGGATGAATGTTCACTTCCTGATTGTGATAAATATACTGTAGTTTTATAAGAAAATATTCTTTTTAAGAAATACACATACAAAGATTTAAAGGGACCATGTCTGCAACTTGCTCTCCAGTGACTCAGCAAAACATTATAGCAAACAATATAGTAAATGCTACAGAATGTTAGTATGTTGGGAACTCGCGTAGTGCACATTTAGGAATTCTTTGTACTAGTCATTACTTTTCTGTAAATCTAAAATTTTTAAATAAGGTATGATGGCCCATGCCTGTAATTGCAGCGTTCTGAAGGCTGATGCAGTAATTTCCACAACCTCCAGGGTAGCCTGGAGTATATAGTGAATTCAAGACCAGCCTGAGGCCCTGTCACACAAAAAAACCAATAAATTAAAAGTTAAAAAGTAATAAATTTGTGTTTAAGATTTTTTAATAAACTCACTATGTAGCCCAAGGTGGGAAAAAAAATGTTTTTTTAAATCAATAAATTTCAGCAAAAAGAAGGAAAGGAAAAAAGAGAGAAGTTAGGCTGGATGGGAGAGAAAGAAGCAAGGAAGGCAGACAAATTGTACCCCAGGCTGCAAAGGGCAGTGGGTAATTTCAAGGTCTAGCAAAACAAAACAAAATACAAACAACCAAATATGGTGAGAAAAAGGAGCGCATGTAGACTTCTTTGGCCTAGAAGACCAGACTTCAACTCACAACACCTGAGGGTGATAGCTGTGTAGCTCTGGGACTATTACGACAAACCCTTACCATAATCACCATCATCAGACTCTGGGCTGGGTTACTAGGAGATTCTGGAATATTAATACAAAAGCAGCTCCCATGTTGCTTCACTAACCCTGAATCATTCAATCCACGCATCAGCCCTATGAAGCTGATATTGTATAGCTGGGTAAACTGAGGCAGGGGGGCTATGAAGCACACATTAAGAGGTCACAAATTAGTAGAGTGGGACACCACAACAGAATCCAGACATTCTGGCTCCCAGAGAGTAAGGACCAAGCACAGGCCAGGCACAAAAGCATTCAAGCAGCTGGCTAGGATGCCAGGCAGATAAAGGATGGGATGATCTATTGGGCTGACCACCACCACACCACCACAACATCTTTTCCATCGCTCTGGGGTCCCAGATGCCGAAGCCACCGCAACAAGCAGCACTGGGACCTGACATGATGGGGGCGGCTATGAGGAGCACTGGATACCAGTTGCTGCTGGTGAGCAGCAGTTGTACATCTGGAGCAATATTGTCCCGACCCTTTGGAAGACTTATTATTCACAAACATGGGTCCTTACTACCAGTGCTCAGTCATCATTGTCACAAACACTGCATGGCTGGTGGATCTCATTTCCACAATGCCCCTCATAGCAGTGAAGGACTTTCGCCTGCCAGGTAAACCACTGCACCCAGATTTGGCCCTTGAACTTCAGTAATCCCAACTGTTCCAAAAAAGGCTCACTGTGGATGCAAACTGTGACTTCCTCCCCAGTGTGTCCATCATATATCTCCCGTTACCACAGAGCCTGGAAACACTAAGAGCCCAGCCTGGCCCCATTCTGACAAAACAGTAATAACTACACACATGGCCTCTCCATGGCCTCCCCCAGCCTGCCACACAAGCAGGCCAACAACCGAGCACCCCTCACCTGGAGGGCAAGGCCATCTCTTCTTTTGGGATTTTGAGGTCGGGGCTGCTTATTTTGCTTCATCTTGTCCTGGCATTTGCTACACAACTGTACACAAGATGGCTTAATTGGGCAGCCAAGGCCCCTTGGGTCCCAACACTGCAGCGGAGTTCAGGGGCAGCTTCTTACTAATTGCCTGGTCTCACCATGACAACTCAACTGGGCTGTTCTAGCCTGTGCTGACTTTCTAATAACCTGCGTAGTTTCCCATCTCACATTCCTGAAGCCTCTCAAGTCCCCATATTCTTTGGGAACCTGATCTATGACATGCAATTGCCACTTCTCAGGCTTTTGGCAAAGATCAACTATGCTATCTGTTCTTATCAGCTTAAGAGCCAATTCATCCTCTAGCCCAGGAAAACCGTTTAGAGCAGGAAGATGGAACACAAGTTTAAGCTTGTTCCACCTCCCCATGCACCAACACGTATTGCAGTGCCTCCAAGAATGGTGCATCTCATTGTGAAAAAGAAAAGGATATGCAACTATCAAAGATATGTCCATATTATAACCCATGTCACAAATCAAGAAATGAAGGCCAGGTGTAGTGGCACACACCTATAATCCCAGCACTCTGTAGGCTAAGGCAGGAGGACCTCTGATTTGGAGGCCAGCCTGGGAGGCAGTTCAAAGACCAGCCTAAACTACATAGTGAGGCCCTATTGAACCCCTGCCCCAAAATAAAAATGAGGAATCAGAGAGGAACCAAGTCTCACTGCTGCTCAGTTGATGAACTACCCTGTGTATCCCATCCATACCTTATTCCCTTGGAAAGGGTTTTTCCTTGGCTCTGGCCTCAGGACACCTACATAGCTGGCCCCAGATAAACTAAGATAGGGCTACTGGTAGGAGTCGCGGTTTAGGTGTAAAAGGGCAACAGATATATTCAATGCACGGTAGGACTTTAGTCTGAGGCATCAGTTGAAAGCACTCATTCCCAAGGACACCCAACAGCTTCCTCAGTGAAGGTGGCTGTTCTGCAAAATGACAACCGGACAGCTGTGGAGCAAGGTGCAGCAGCAGAATTCCTGAGAAGTATGAGAACTGCCCCCAGCATTCTTGTGGGTGGTCATCTAAAAAATAAGGTCCGGCTAAGGGTTTCCCAGATGTTAGGCTTTAAATGAAGACTCGGAAGCCAAGGTTTAGACATTCAATCATTGTGATCCCTAAACCAGCAGCATGAAATTCCTAGAGCTCACCCCTACATTTTCTAGACAAAAAATTCAAAGTAGTTCATAGCAGGAGCAGCCCTGTAGGGGATGCTGGTTCATCGGAATTTTGCTGGATCCAGTGGGAGGACCCTGGGTTCTCCCACTATACTTAAAAGAATCACCTGCCACCACCAACAACTCTTACACTGTCGCCACCCCCCAACACTGGCCCTGCCCAACTGACCTGCAGAAGAACAAAAGCGACACCAGACTGTTATATATAGAAATACTGATTTTAATTAAACAGAATAAGGTAAACTCTAGGTATCCATTATTGTATGGCCTAAAAATTAGCAAAAACTGTTGAAACAAGGCACAATATTCTCCCCATACTTGTTATGTGGCTCCACTTACAAAAAAATTTTAATGAAAACATGAACATAAAAATAGAAGACTGAGATTTTAAAAACTATATAAAGCCCCACAAAACTTGTCAAAGTTGTTCCTTGTCCTACGAAATAGCACCAGCAAGAAGAGTAAAAAGGTGTTAAAAACCATTACTACAGCATTTCTGAAATGCAGCGTGTCTGACGTCCCATCCCCTAAAAAAGTGATGTATTGTGGAATAAAAAAGGATTTTAAAATCTCTGGAAGGAGGATCAAGTTTTTATTGCAGTTTCCCCACCATCTCTTAGATGCAGGGGCAATGTGCTCTGCTTCTGGCTGTCACAGCTTCTTGAAGACAGATGAGGAATTAGGGTTTCAGGCTTCTCACAGGACCTATGCCTATTGAGGGTAGGTCTTTTGGGAGGGGATTGGGGTGCTCTTGTCTAAAGTCCCTCCTTCCTTCAGGCCCCTGACATAGGGAAGAGGGAGGTAAAGGGTAGAACTTGCCCACCTAATACATGGCAGCTTGTATGATACAACTGAGCCACCCTTTCTTTCCTGAGCTCCTCCGAGGGTTCTATTGCAGTCAAGGGGAGGGATTTAGGTAAGGGTGGCCCCTGCCCTTGGATTAGTGGGGAAAAGTAGCCCTGAATGTGGTGACGATGACATCATCCCTGCTGAAATCATCATCAAGGGAAATACTCTAAAGGCAGACTCCAGCGCCTGCAGCAAGGCAGGGAAATATGCTGGGTAAAATTCAAGAAAGATATACATGTCACTTCCTCTTCGGCTAGCCCTAGAAAAAGACATCCCAGGCCCTTAAAATGTCCCTCAACTATGTGTCTACAACTGAATACTCCTGTAAACATGAAGTTGCAGACATTTTTAAAAAGTTGTACAATAACTGTCTTGGATTATTTTGCAGCATTGACCTGAGTCTTGGAGAGCTGTCAGCACTGTAGTTTTGGTATCTTAGCTATCATTTCTCTGAGTGGTATACCCAGGAGAGGGGAGAAAAACATTTCACTACCTACTTCAAGTTTTAAAGTCTTAGGAGAAGAAAAATGAGCACCATGTTTGGCCGCTCTGAGCAGCCAGGTCTGAATTGTGCGCAAGGAGGCAGCACCTCGGGCTCAGCCTGCAACAGAGGGTCAGGTGGCCCTGCTCAGACTGAGCAGGAGAAAACTGAGGTACAGTGAGACCCACACAGCTGAGCTGAGGAAGGGCAGAGCTGGGGGCAGCACCTTCAGGAATCAGGGCACCTCTGTGGCCCTGGCTCTGCCCCCACACCCCAGTGCCAGAGCAGGTCTGGGCAGAACTATTCACATGCAAAGTAGTCCTTCAAGGGGGCGAAGAGGTGTCTGATGACGGGCACGCTCCAGGACCTCCCAAGCAGCTTCTGGCGGGCACCACGGCCCATGTTGGACACGTCCGTGTAGTGTACGGGAAAGCCGAAGATCCTGGGAGAGCACCGGGGTGAAAAGACAAGGAGTCAGAAGTGCCTGACCCTCCCAAGAGCCACTGGAATCCTAACATTGGCCAGGTGGCCAACTGTGCTGTGCTGTGACTTTCCATTTATCCCACCCCCATCAGCCAGGCCCACAGTGCCCTCGAATGGGCCCTTTCCTGCCTGCCAGGAGACCCAAGTTCTACAGAGCACTTGCTCAACAATCTCATCCATAAGGACACCTGCCTGGTGCACCCCCAGCACTAGCACCACCTTCCTGATGCTTATTTGGTATGCTCAGGGGACCTTTCTTGATTGCATCATAAGAATTAAGAACCATATGATTAAATACCAAGCAATACAGCAATCATGTACATGTATCTTCCAAACACAATGATGGGGTAAGTTAAGCAATTTCCTTTAAGGAACAAGGTCACTCACAGAAACAGCCCAGAAGAATGTCAACCATCAGAGACTCACACAAGTTATAGTGAGTATTCCTAAGCATCCCAGTTCTGTATACAGGTATGACTAGGCCTGGCAGGAGGGTACAGGTAACACTGGATCCCAGTATTAGACAGCTTTAGAACTTGATAATATAATTAACATAGCTCCACTCAAACCTTTATATGTTTGGGTCTCAAATCAAGAAGAATCTACAGAATGGATTGAGCAAAGTTATTCTCTACTCCTGCTAAGAGATCTATAGTTTATTTATTTAGTTTTTGGCACTGAGAATCAAACTCAGGACCTTGCACTTGTCAGGCAAGCTGCGCCACTGAGCTGTATCTCTAGCCCTAGAGATCTACTGTTAAGCCAAAGAAATAAAACTAGAACTGAAACGTCTGGAATGAAAACAACATCTTTGGAACGCAGTCAAACATGTAAAGAGGAAAATTCATAACTTTAAACTACATTACCAGTGAATAATAATTTTAAAAATAGGAAAAAATCCACAAGACTTGAAATCAGGCATGGTTCTTTGCACCTAAGTAGACAAATCTCGCACCATAAAGGGAAAAGGGAGAAGACAGAGTGTGGCTTAAGCAGAATCAGCTATAAAACGAACAACGTGGTAGAGAAATCTTCCTAGAAGAGCAAGGGGCTCATCTTTGACTGGTTCCTCATATATCCTGACTCAGGCGGTGCTGACCTCATGCGTCAGATTGCTCACCACCCACCATTTCTACCAGGAAATAAGGGCTAACTGAAAAGGTACTCTATTTACTCTCAGACCCACTCCCAGGAGGCTGAGAGACTATTTTAGAATTAAGGTAAGCATCTTAGTTTATTTGTGCTGCTGCTCTGGACAATACGTTCCTCCCCTTCCTGTCTCTGCACCATTTCCCTCACCAAGTGCAGCCTTGCTCACCTCTCGAGCTCAGTGCACCACAAAACATCTTCTTTGCCATTCATGACAACAGGGAAAAGTTGGTTTTTCCCCTGTCTGATCGAGTTCGACTTGGTGGTTATTGTCTGTACTTTCTTTAACTGGAGAACAAAACGATACGGAGTGAGTATAGAAAGAATGGGTCCAGGTGAGGTCAAGATGCAGGAGTGCCCAGAGTGGATGTGGAGAGAAGGAAGGAAGGGTGTAGGAGAAGCAGCAGGATGAGCTTGGAGAAGGGAGGAAAAGTTAGAGATCTGCACAGAGAATAATATTTTGTGTGCCCCACAAATGCCAAAAAGTTTGTGATCAGGAAGGACCAGGCTCAGAGAGAATAAAAGAAGCAAAATGTGACCATGAGTAAGATCATGAGGGGCAAGAAGACACCAAAGTTACTAACCAAAGAGTAAATAAAACAGAAAAACCACCCAGATACAGAGAATGGTCAACTGCAATTTGGACAAAATGGATCTTCGCCTGATGCAGAAATTAAGAATTATGTCTTTTAAGTTTTAACAGTGACTAACATAATTTTCTTTCTTTTCCTTTTTTTTATGCAAAAGCATCAAATATTCTTTTATTACTGGAAAGGTCAGCTGAATCCTGGATCTATGTATCCAGTGTTAACAATTAGAAAGTCTAGTTGCCTTTTCTCACAATGATTATGTGTTTATCAAGAATGTCTCCTACTCTCTGTATGTGAAAAAGGAATAAACAATTATGCAGGGAGAGAGAGCCAGCACCAGGAGTCACACGTGGAGGAGTAGGATCAACTGGACAGCACACCAAGGTCACCAAGTGCGTTCCCCAGAGAACAGCAGTACAGGCCATTTGCAAGTCTTACCTTTGCTGTCCTACTGTATTCCAAGCAGTCCTGCAGCTCGAGTTTATCATTCTTTGATGCTATCACAGGCCTGGGAACAGCCAAAACCCATTACTCTGTAGAGAGGCCTCAGCTAGGCACCTCACAGGGCAAGTAGGGGGGATGACCACCAGCAAAAGTGTGCCCTGGCAGAGGACAGGTTACAAATACATTGTCCCAGCTGGTCTGGGAACACCCCACCCCCCATGATTGACAGAGCAATCCTGCCATGTGCACAAGTCTGCAAGCCATGCAGAAGGGGTCAGCCCAATGCTGAGAACAACTGCTGTTCCTCCTGAACTTTTTTTTGGAGACAGGGTCTCACTATGAAATTCAAACTTACCTCGAACTTACAGTGATCACCTGCCTCAGCCTCGCAAGTGCTGGGATTATAGGTGTGTAACACCATACCCAGCTTCCTCCTGAGCTTTATTATTAGTCAAAGCCAGGTTCCAAAGCGAGGAAGGAGAGGACAGCACACTGGAGGGGGCATAAGGAGAACCCTCTGAGCCCACCTCACAGTGCTTGCTGGCTGAGTGGCTTGAGCAAGTCATGCTACCTCCTTTGGAGTGAAGCCTATTTGGGGGTTTCCTGGGGACGGATCCCAGGGCCTTGTATGTGAGAGGCCAGTGCTCAAACAGTGACATCCCCAGCACCTTGTCTACTTTTATTTTTTTCCCCCGATACCGGGAATCGAACTCATGACCTCATGTTTGCCAGGCAGGTGCTGTGCCGATGAGCTAAATCCCCAGCCCACCTTGTCTATTTTAATGAGAAGCATTAAACATATCTTTGTGAGTTTATTTAATACTACTAATATGTCCCATCCGTATGATTTGGTGGCTCAGTGCTAGAAAAGCAGACTCAGGAGACTTGTCGATAGGTGCTGCACTCATGGAGAAGGCCATAAGGGGGTTCACTTTAGCTGGACATGCGGCACACACCTGTAATCCCAGCACTCATGAGGCTGAGGCAGGAGGATTGCAGTGATTGAGGCAAACCTCAGCTACAGTGAGTTCAAGGTCAGCCTGAACTGCACAGTGAGACCCTATCTCAAAAAAAAAAAATTTTTTTTTAAACTTTCACTCTAGAAACCTGATTTGCAAATGCAGAAAGAACATAGCCAAGAAGAGTAAGTGATAGAACCAAAAGGTGTTGAGCAGTTCCAGAGCCCAAACCAGGCAAGATGTCTACACACAGTTGATGAGCACCATAGTAACCCCTCTGGGAAGTTCAAGGCCAAAAAGAACCTCAGATATGACAGTGAAAAACGCCCACAAGGAGTAAGAAATCAAACCTGTCCCTAGACTCCACAGATTTCCTTGCCTCCCAGGTTCCAATAGCCAAACCTTCCTGCATGGACCAAAAGGAGCTGAGAGGCCAGGGAAAAAGGGGAAAAAGGCCAGCCTTGTGCAGGTTTGAGTAATTAAAAATCACAAACTAGCCAGGTATGGCTGGTGCACACCTGTAATCCCAGAGCTCTGGGAGGCCGAGGCAGGAGACTGCAAGTTCAAATCCAGCCTGGTCAGTTTAGCCAGGTAGCAAGCCCGTGCGTCAAAATAAAAAATAAAAAGGGAGTAGGGATATTCCTCTCCAAAGACACTGGGTCAAAACACCAGTACAAAATAAATAAATAAACCCTATGTAAACCAGATTATTTGGGTTTCAGCCCTAGCAATGCTTGACATCCCTACGCCATAATCCCAAAAGGCTCAACTGCCACTACACAGCCTTTCTGCTCCACCATCTAACGCATAAGCAAATGCTGCAAGTTCTAACCTTTAAAGTGTCTCAAATGTGAAGCTTTGTTACCAACTCTACAGGACTGCCTTGCTACAAACCCCAGCCCCACTCACACTTGTGTCTTCTCCCAATGGATAAGGAGTCCTGAGGCAAAGCATAGTAATCAGCCATGAGTCCTCCTCCTTTAGGGAACACAACCACCTAAGCTGTTCACGTGCTAATAAAGTCCTCCACCCAGAAACTACCAGAAAGCTAAAGCACACTTCATCCCAGCTGTTTAAAACGCCTATACTTTCCCAGGCCTATGTAAAGCTAAGTGCGGTCACATAAGGTCCCACACCTGGAGTTTTCTGCCCTTGGTTCCCAGTCTGTTCTCCAGCTGGTCTAGAAAACCACACCAGACAAGACTTCACATCTTTTCCCTTCTGCCTAGAATACTCCAGTAAGTACCTGACTCTTACTCTTCATTTAGAGTCCTGCTGACGTGGGGTACCCGCATCACAAACTCTTCCATTGCCCACTCCCCACCCACGCAAATGCAATCCATTACTGTCTTTCTACCTTTCTGCCATTAGCAGATCGTTGCCACAAGAGGCACTGACCTCAGTGTGTTTACTACTTAAACGGCAGCAGTACAGCAGTGCCTGGGAGAGCTCTAATGTTAGGTGCAAGTAGCCCCATTTCATTCGGAACATGGGCACAGTGTAAGCGAAAGGCAATGATACCCCCCAGAGAAATTCTCCAAGCTACCTCAACATTCTTACTCTAGCCACACTTTGATAAATGCCACAAATGATCACGGAGGCCCATGTGTAACTAAGGAACACCCAAGTACCTTTGGTATAGGACAAAAAGGGAGAACTCTTTTGATTAAAAGTATCTGAGGGAGACAGTCTTGGGGCTAATGCCCTGCCAATCTGATCTGTCCTCACCAGCCTGATTAGTTCACATCTGGGACAGGAGGGATGAACCTTTAACCACCCATTTCCACATCCTAATAGATTTTGACATAGCAGCAAGGAGAACAAAATAGAGTGTGAAGGCAACAATTTACAACCTCACATCCATCTGGCCAAAAACAGGACTTTTAAGGATCAGTACCATCTGCAACTAGAAAGTTACTAATAAGCCTAAGAGATCCTGATAGATCCCCAAGTATTTCCCCACATCACAACAGCACAGGTGGGGCTGAAGCCCACCCAGGGTGGCCCTGTTTGACAGCATAACCTTCAACTTCTAGAAAGCTGGAAAGCAAAGCTGACACCATTGGCAAACATGGCTGTGAGGTGTCCCACTCAATTCTGTGTTACCTGTTCATCCCAGGTAAGTTCCCCCAGAAGTATCGGGCCCTATGAGCAGCAGAGACCTTGATGGCATCAATCATCACTGGATTACACTGCAGGGAAACAAGAAGGGAGCTGCTAGCAGCCTTCATCAAAATTCAGGCACTGATCAGAGCAAGGCTTTACCTGTGCAAGTGACAGGCTGATTCCTGGCTATAGAAAAGGTGTGGATCCACCCAGTGAAGAAAAACAAACCAATTCCCACCAAAGGTCTGACTAGAACAGACTGATCTCACATATAGTGAGTACAGTAAAGAGTTCTAATCAGATTCTAAGAATCGATATGGGTCTTCTCTAATGACAGAACCTGTTACCAAGGTAAAAGCACCATTTCTATCACATCAAACCTAAGCTGTCATAATTCTTGGAAAACTCAATGTCTTCAGTATACTACTCAGCTTCATAAAATTTTGGGTTGTTTTTGTTTTTGTTTTTTTTTTTTTTCATCTTTTTGAGACAGGGTCTGACCTTGAGCTCACTGTGCAGCCCAGGCTGGTCTCAAACTCACAACAATCCTCCTGCCTCAGCCACCTGAGTGCTGGGATTACAGGCCTGCATCACCACGCCCAACTGCCTTGATAAATATGAAGCAATGCATTGACTTCCTTTACCCTAATGCAGCCATTCAGAATAAGGATTAGGAAAAAGCTATCTAGGCTAAAAGCTGAGTAATGTTAACAAAAACTGTTTACAATGCATTAGCAAGACCCATAAAATCAGGCACTGCCAAATCTAACCCATACCCTTTTTTTTTTTTTTCCCCCCTCCGGTACCGGAAACCGAACTCACAACCTTGCGCATGCCAGGCAGGAGCTTTTTGCCGCTGTGCAAAATTCCCAGCCCCATCCATACCCTCTTGAGCAACAAAAAAATCTTCACTCTAGTTGTCTTTGACAGGGAGGCCCCCTGGGTTCATTCTCTCACCTCCAGGAATCGTGAAATGTCCCTCTTGTCGCCAACCTTCATGGCTACAACATTCTCGAACATCCAGAAGAATGGCCGGTCATCCCCCTCCTTGGGGCGTGAGTAATTCAGCAAGTGGTAGAACTCAAAGAAGAGTCGGCCAGTGCCCTCTGCTCATGAAAAAAGAAGAAAGAGTAAGGCTTTTAATCACAATCCCCTGAGACCCATAGGTCCCAATCCCCTATCACCCGTTTCCTTGGGGCACTCAGGAATGATGGCAGCAAGGACAGAGGCAGGAACAGTGCACTATCTTTTAGAGTCCTTCCTGGTCCAGGGACTCACAAGTGCAAGCACAGTGCCTAGGGACCTGAGGTTCCCAGTAAAGTTGGACAGGCGGGAAGAGTTCAGAAAGCTCTACTCAAATCAAGCATCACAGGGGCTCTGAGAGCCTCCAGAAAGGAGGGGTTGCTCACCATACAGGCCTTTCCTGGCTGGATTTACATTGGAGAGATCATTGCATGGGCTTCCACCAATCACCAAGTCAAACGGGCCCCACTCTTCAATCTAAAGGAAAAAAACAGACTCAGAGTGGAACTGTGATGAGCAGAAAGCTCGTTGCTAGATTGGTATTGCAAAGGGAGAGCACTGCCTAGCATACAAGAGGTCCTGACTTCCATCCACAGGCCACCCCCAAAAAGACAGAACCTGAAAGCTCAGTGCTCTAGATTCTCAAGACCTCAATCACTAAATTAACTATTTCTAAGTAACAAGTCTTACCACTAGAACTTAAAGTACCAGGTTCTCTCCTACCCACAATCATGGGTGCTGGGGAGGGAGACAGCATGTGCTAAAGGCCGGGGGCTTAAAAGGATGCGGAGAAGGCAATGGAATAACACATTGGAGAGTAGTTGCTGTGATCACACCCGTAATCCAAGCACTTGGGAGGTTGAGGCAAGAGGATTTTGGTTTAGTTTGAGGCGAACCTGGGACTACATTAAGTGAGTTCAAAGTTAGCCTGAACAGGGGGCTGGGGATTTAGCTCAGCGGCAAAAGCGCCTGCCTGGCATGCGCAAGGTCGTGAGTTCGGTTCCCGGTACCGGAGAAAAACCAAAAAAAAAAAAAAAAAAAAAAAAAAAAAAGTTAGCCTGAACAGTAGGTGGGCGTGTGCCACACACCTGTAATCCCAGCTCTTGGGAGGCTGAGGCAGGAGGATCGTCACAAGTTCGAGACCAGCCTGAGCTACAAAGTAAGTTCAAGGCCACCCTGAACTTCACAGTGAGACCCTGCCTCAAAAAGACCAGGAAAAAAAAGGGGAAAAAAAACAAAACAAAGTTAGCCTGAACTACAAAGTAAATAAGACCCTGTCTCTCAAAAAAAAAAAAAAAAAAAAAAAAAAAAAACCACACACCCAAAAAAAAAAACACAGACAAGATGAACACTTACATTTTTCTTAGTGATGTTCCTGACATCATTCACATATTTGATATTCCCCTCGTGCTTCACTGTTCCAACAGCAATGGACTCTTCACATATTTCTGAGGCAACATACTTCTCCACTTTAATGCCCAATTCTTTCAGCACTAAGTACCCTAGAGGGGCAGAGAAACAAGCATGGAAGTGAAGGTAGGGGAGTCTGTTAATGTGGGCAGTACCCCGCCCACTGGCTGTGCTAACTCCATGTTTGGGGAAGCCTTGGGAAAAGGAGCAGGGGCCAGGGCTGAGGGTGGTGGTAGCTGTCGCTAACTGGATGCACACAGAATGAAAATTCACTGCTCAGATACCTGAACAAAACATAAAACAAAATGCAAGACCTGAGAAATGTATCCTTTAAAGGGAAGCAAGAGCCAGGTGTTGTGACGCATGCCTGTAATCCCGGGACTCCAGAGGCTGAGACAGGAGGATCAAGGCCAGCCTGGGCTACATAAATGAGTTCAAGGGCACCCTGCACTACACAGGAGACACAGTCTCAAAACAACTACAAATAAAACAACAAAAATGGTAAAGAGAACCTAGAGTGCTAGGTGGTAAGAAGGTGGCAAGGGATACAAGCAGTTGAACGAAGGTAACTCCCAGACTGCCCACAGTGGAGCCCTCACGTGAACCACTCACCTGTTGCAATTCCATCAAACAATGACAGGACTCGAATGGGCCGCCGTCGGGATGCGGGAATTGCTGGGTACAATTTTGGGGCCTCCTGCCAGATGTAAGAAGAAGCTTGAGGGAGGTGAAGTAGCAGGGGGAATTCTCAACATCTCAGAGTAGCAGGTTGTCCCCATTGGCAAGATAAGATGCAAACCCTGATGTTGATGGCAATTGCTAGAACATGTAACACACCAGCCTGCATGTGGTACAGAAGGAATTGTGAAATGTCCCTCATGAAATTTCCTAGCACCTGAAACACAGCTGCACTAGTACAAATACCAAGAGGAAAAGACAAGGCCAGCAGGTGCAGTAGTGCATGCCTATAATCCCAGCTAATTAGGAGGCTGGGGCAGGAGGATCACAAGTTTGAGGAAAATTGGGGCAACTCGGCAAGATACAGAGACAGACAGACAGATAGACATACACACGCACATGCACACAACCTGTCAAGAATGATCCCATACTCCCTCTAACCTCTAAGAATGGTAAATTCACTCCTACAAAAATGTGAGAGTGAGGAGCAGAAAGGAACAGAGTAAGTTACAGAAATCCTTGCCGTCATCATCCAAACTAACAAAAAGGCTTAGCTCTACAAGCTCCTCTTAACCAGTCCTGTGCATTCCTCTCTGAACAGTCAGAATTGTACAAAAGGCATGAGTTAGTCAGCAGGGGCCCAGGGCAGCTAGGCTCAGACAGGCTATTCTGAATTATGCGTCTTCATTTGCATTAATTCTAATTGAGCATTCTAGACAGTTCCAGAACGGCTGCCCTGGGACCCGTGGGGCCTGACACAGTGTGACTTACGTAATCAAGGTTTGAGTCACTGGTGAAGAAGGCCTGCAGACGCACGTTCCAATCCTTCCTGCGCCGCAGGACACCATGGCAGCGCTGGGGGAGGCACATGTAGCAGCTCCAGGGCTCTTGCAGCTTGGCCTCTGCGGCGGTGCCTGCACCCACCAGCACCTCCAAACACTCTACACAGAAGCACCTGCACCAAGAGACCAAGGGATGTCTGTTACCAGGCAGCCCTCCCACTTCCCCAAGAAATGGCAACACAGTGCCCTATGACATATCAGGCTTCAGCTGCTCCTCAGTGTGGCCGGTGACGATGAGGTCTAAAGAACTTCTTCCTTAGGTATCCTAGTCCTCTAAATCCACAGGCTCTTGGCAAACAAATGCGGCCTCCAAGTTCACCAGATGAGCTCCAAGGAGGATCCTCACGGGACACCTCACTGCCCTCCTTGACACACCCCTGGACTATCCATCCTTATGTGGATATTTCAGGTCTGGACACAAGGACAGTGCCAGCCCCCAGTTCAAACACTCCCAGTCTGTGCCTGGGATTGGATTAAACGCTGACAACTGCCTTGGGGCTGCAGAAATCACAGGGTACAACGGTGCTTACCGGCAACAGCTTGTGTTACTGCAGAGAAGCAGCTCGCGGCCCTCACAGCACACAGTGCAGTAGGACTGATAGCCATCATCATCATACATGTAGAACAGCTCCAGGAAGCGATCCTGGTGGGCAAAGCAAAGAAACAAATGCCAGTGAAACCAGAGGCCAGTTTGCCCACTGGCTAATGCCCTAGGACATATCCATGGAACAAGTCACCCGCCCATAGCCTACTGCAATGGCACCGTGAGAGGCTTCACTAATGACTAGGGCAGGTGCTATTTTGGAGGAGCGAAAAACAAGGTTGCAGAGAATGGAAGGGGAGCTGCAAGTTAGGACTTACCCGGCACATCTGGCAGAGCCCTCCCTCAAAAAGGGGGTGGAAAGACACAGGGTTTTTCCTACCACAGGGCAAGCAGCTGTCTGTAAGAAAGACAAGGTCAGAGATTATGACAATTATGGCCCTAGCATCAGCTGCTGAAGGCTTGGGATGGAAAGTTCTACTGCAGCAATGCACCAAGGATACTCAAAGCTTTATGCCATGCAACATGCTTACACTCTACTCCTTTCCAGTGTTTCCAAGTTCCATCCCATTTCAGACACTAGAAGTCAAGTTCACATGAATAAATAGAAGGTGACAGAAGATAAGCTAAAGGGCTCCCCAGGGAGGAACACCCAAGCCAGGACACTGAGCAGGAATAAATTTTAAGGGCTTGCATGAAAGATTAGGACACATAAAGCATTTCTGGTGATTCTGGGTGTCTGATGACAGGACATGCTCATGGCTATACTTTAGCAACACAGCACATGGTTCTAGTTCCAAAGCCCAGGCCCTTAAAATTAGCCACTCTGCTAAACTAGGATGGTCTTGGGCATTATAAAAGAGGGACATGAGGACCAATGTATCTTAGAGTACATGAAGGATCGTGGGTCCAAACTCAAGTACTACCGCACACTGCTGGAAATTGAAGCTTTCCCAAGAGCTTCTGGCATAAGTGTGTGTTTTCTCATCCCCCACCAAGCCACCACTCAAGAAATATTCATGCACAAAGTTACAGGGACTGAGAACTCCATTGCTCTCCCATCAATTCCATTAGGTTTGTTCCAGGCAGTTTTTGGTCCAGTGGGAGAAGTTCCAAGCTGGGGTCAGCAGTTAGCTTGCAAGTGCGACAATGGCAAAGCACATCTGCTTTTCACTGATGCACTAGTTCCAGTTTTTTCTTAGGGTGCATCAGGATGCCACTGATCTGAGTTTTAAATTGGGGTTCTCTTTGGCTGAAGTGACCCAGCTTCCATTGTTACTCTACCTGAACTTTGCTACTCACTTACATCAGGGGAAAAAATAATCTGAAGTAAAAATAATCACACCCCACAGTCTACACAATGGAGCAAGTAAGACACGGGGAGCAGAAACAGACTGAGTTGAGGCACAGAGCCAGATTAACACAAGGCAGGGGGAGGTGGGGAAGGGGTGCGATGGAAGGTAGGGCTGGAAGCAGGAAGAGTACCTTCCAGATTGCTCTTGTTGCTGAGGACATCAGCAGCCATTTGTTCTGTTGAGGAAGAGGAGAGAAGACACAAGGTGAGGCCAGGGGCTCCGCGCAGTGGTCACACCCAAGGTCACCATGACCTTGGTCCCACTATATCCATGGTGGTGTGCAATCTGCCACTCTAGACTCCTCTCCCCCCAACAATCACCTCGGCTCTGATCTTCTTCTCGGTCTTTGCCATTGTTATAGCAATTGGTCTTGAGGCGTTTGGGTGGGGGACAGTAGTCAGAAGTGGCAGAGTCATCAGCTGTGCGTCTTCGACTCTTGTTCTCTATGAAAAGTAAGCAGAAGGCAGCCGTAGCTCGGCTGAGGGCCCAAAAAGAAGGTAGGCCCAGGACAAGACTGTGCGAGGCCTGGAAGCCAGCTGCCATGTAATGCATGACAAGGCACCCACAGTGGGTGAACAGGGCCCACAAAAGGGCAGGACAGGACAGGACAGGACAGGACAGGATCCCATTTGACCCCTGCTACCTGGGAACCAGAATACAGGTGGAAGGGGCTTTAAACATCCACATATGAAAGAATACATCCTTTTGAACCTACCTCAAAGGACAACAGAATAATCCACAGCTAAATTTGATACCTCTGTGTCTAAGATGCCTCTCATACTGTGCAATACCCACACATGTCCACTGAGCACACGAAACAACTGGTGACCAAGGGACGGGATTTTACATTGATCATGAATGTTGATTTAAAAAAACAAGTTGGGTCCAATCTCAACTATAGCTCAGTGGCATAAACATCTGCCTGGCAAGCATAAGGTCCTGAGTTTGATTCCTGGTACCAAAAAAAAAAAAAATTAAAGGGCCAGGGATGTAGCTCAGTGGCATAAGCGCCTGTCTGGCAAGTGCAAAGTCCTAAGTTTGATTCCCAGTACTACAAAAAATAAATAAAGAAATAAAGAAAAAGAAAAAAGAAAATCAAGAAGTGACAAACTAGTTCACTTGGACTAACTTGGACATTTTTTAAAAATTCCGGTAGAGGGCTGGGGATATAGCTCCACGGCATAAGCGTCTGCCTGGCAAGTACAAGGTCCTGAGTTCTATTCCTGGTTCCAAAACAAAAACTAAATTACAGTGGGGTTTGAAACAGTTTCGTACTTTAACCCAGGTCTCCAACTGGTACTTCTCCCACCTTAGCAGCATGATGGCTGGGATAACAGGCATGCACAGTCATACCTGTCTTAAATCCACTTTGCAAATATAGGTTTTAAGTACTCAATCAAAATTTATTTTTTGTTTTTGGGCGTTTTCTTTTTGTCTTTTTAAAACAGTGTTTTGCTATGCCTTGCAGGCTGGTCTTTAACTCATTTTGCAGCCCAGGCTGGCCTTGACCTCAATGATCCTCCTGTCCCAGCCTCCCAGGTATGCATCACGATATGCCTGGCCAAAATTTGTAGTTAACCTGTATTATTAACCTGTACTTAACAGATGCAGTACTCCCAAAAACACATTTGGAAAATAAAATGGTACTAAATAGACAGGTGAAATCTCAAATTTTTATACTGACTGGATGTTGAAATGCTAGCATTTTGGAATTGTTAGTTTTGACAAAATATGAACAGTATAAATTTCACCTGTTTTTTTTTTTTTTTCTTTTCAACCACATTTCTAGGAAATAATTTACTTTGGTTCGTATTCTATAAGTGGAATTCTACAATTCAGCTAAATTTATATTTCCGTTCAACCTGTGGAATCCTAATGGGAATGGTTAAATTCAACTCTTCACCTAGGAAAGAATATCATACCGTCATTCCAAACAACAAGGACTCTTTAATGACAAAATGGCATTAGTAGTGCTTATTGTATTAATGTTGAGAAGAGGGAAAGTAGGGATCCCAATGGTGTCAGAAACGGCAGAAGATTGTGCACCCAACAGTGTTAACCTGGGGCATCGGTGAGGGTGAGGAGGGAGGTGGAGGGTGAGGAGCTGAAATCAACTCTAAGAAATTTGATTTGTCTAGTAACCACTGCACATTCTAAGAAAGTGAAAAAAGATAGAGCGGAGGAAATAGAACGTAGTCAAAAGACGGGAAGCGAATACCGTGTTTCCTCGGTCCTAATTTCCTACTGCCTGCACGACGCACCTTCGACTTATTAACCACTTTTTTGGGAGAAACAAAACAAAACAGAAAATATCACATTAAATGTATGGACTAAGAAGATCTCTTGCATTTCAGGAAATCACAGATGTAACAGAAGATATAATATTGGTCAAAATGTTCGGAGATGGCACATAATTCAAACACTTAAATTTTCTCCACTGACTTTAAAAAAAAAAAAAACTTATTTTTCAGAACAGGTTCAATCTCAACTATACGCCCATTACATTTAGCAGGCAGGGAAGAGACTGGGGAAGGCTAGGGCTGGGTCTGCTCTTAGATGCAGAGACTATTTTTCATCAAGCTGGCTCCGCAAAGCACAATTTGGCCTAGATCCAGGGGTAGGAGAGCTAGGCAGGGCAAGGGCAGGTAGGGGTGGCATATATCCAAGGGCTGCACCACCAGAGGCAGTAGGTCCTGCCAGTGAATTGTTCCCACCTGGTTGCTTGTTATTCGGTTTGAGGCCCTCGACACCAGTGGGCTTAAAGCCCCCATGGGCCCACTCCAGCATGGGCTTCAGCTGGTCCTCCAGGGAGTCTCCAGGACTGATGGGGAAGTTCTTGCCAGCACGCACCCTGGCTTTCTGCAAAGATATAAAGGCAAAGTCGGTGGTGAGTGGGGCAAGGAAGGGGTCCCATCCAGGGGCCATCCTGCTAAGGCTGACATTGCCCTTACACTGCACCCTTCGTGGCTGGACACCTGTCCTGGACTGTGGTATGTGGTGAGGAAGGAATGGCCTGTGCGGGACACAGGGAAGAGGCTACAGGTGCAGAGGGGGCTAAGTCTCCACAGAAATCAAGCAGGGTCACATTTTTGTAGAGAATTTGAGTGATCGGCTCCCTGTCAAAGGAGGCGACCCTTACTTACTCAGCTCTGCGGCTTTAAGATATAGGACCAACCTCAGCCTGTTTTATTATTGTGCTAAATAAACTGGCGGCCTAGTCAGGTATCCATTAGTTAGTGGACTGTGGATTTATGTGTCTAATGAAGCACATGGCACCTACCAGAGGCTGCCTCAAAATGCTAGAGGGACAAAAGCAGTTCCAATGCAGCTAGAATACTGGACAAAATCCATTGGCTCACAGGGGCCAGCACGGCCCACAGAGAAAAGACAGGAGTCAGCTGGCCTCAGCTGCTGCCCAAGCTTGGCCTTGCACTCCTCACACCACTTGAGGAAAATAAGCTCTGAGGTGTCCCCATGCCCACTTACTGACATGAACGCCCCAGTTCTCATGGCTCCTACTCCTCAACTCAGCTGTTACTGGAGGTCTGGACAAAGCCTCAAATCCCTTTCCATCTAGACCTGCCAGCGTCCATCCCAGTATCCCTGTCCCCGCCAAGCCATCTTTGGCAGTGTACAGGCTGAGCTAGCTCTCAGGTGGGCTCTTATTCGTGCCTGTTCAGGGCCAGGGAGCCCATGTTACCTCCAAGGCATGGTACATGGCCTTCCTGTAAGAAACCAGTTTGTTATACGTAGCCAGGTTAAAGTGCTGGCTGAACAGCCCCAGAGCCACCAGTTTGTCTGCAGAGACCTAAAAGAGAAAGACATCATCAGTATCAACACCACATCTGTGCCTGAGGTTTTCATGTGCCCCACAGGGCCAGCAATAAGAGGCCGAACGCATCTTAGCCTAGAATGGTGGTGGCGAACCTATCAAAGCTCTAAAAGTTTTGCCATGACTGGCCTACAGCCTATTCATGGCCAGAAGGCAAACATGCCAACACCAAAGGGCAGGAAAAAAAAGCAAAAAAGAGAAATGGTGCAAGTCCTGACATATCCTATTCCCAAAAACTTGACACCCACATCCTCGACATTTCACACTGGGACACCATGACTGTGGACAGATAGAGCCACATGTATGCTCCCTTCTGTAGCACTGACACCGTGTGACAGAGCTGAGACGGTCCTGGACCTCGCTCTACATGCACCTGTAGTTGGGATTCTGACTGTGTTCTTCAGTCCACCCTAAGCCTGACAACAAGACTTTCATCTTTAGACATTTTACAAGTGGAATTCATGTCACTGGTGCAGAACAGTGACAGAGTGAGCAGTTATTATGATCACATGAGTGTAAGTTTCTGGATCTCATGTCCATAGACACTGAATAGATTATGCCAGAGTGTGTGGAAGAGATGCGGCTGTGTGTTCAGGATCTGTGCTGTTCAGTGTTCTGTTCAGAACTGCAGGACGTGAGGGCTCCAGAGATCAACTTCACCGTAGCCCAGAGCCTCATCTCTGTCGCTCGAGGTGTGGCGACCATTGCTGAGAAACTGACAACTGCTTAACATGAGCCACAGTCAGACATGTCTGGAGCAGGATCACTCCATTTCTGACGCCTATCTGTCGAAAAAGCCACAGGTACATGGTAATCTCATTCCAAAACTACCAGTTTTTATCTGCACCTTATTAGCACCAGGCCTTGTCTGGCCAAGCACATTTCACGGCTCAATGGGCTCAGAAGTTACTAACAGTTTGTTCCTTAGTTTCACAGGATGTAACTGCCTACATATTGCAGGCCAATATTGGACCAGAACACTGGTCTTTCTGCTCCCTCTGCTGGTCAGAGAGGGACTCTGCATGCAGTGTTCTCACATCAGATTTTTGTTTTATTCTTGCCCTGGAGCCCTAAGGCACAATAATTCACAAGACTAAAACTTCAAGTTGAGTCTACACCCCTTTTCGTCCATTATTTCCCAGTTTGCTGCTCATCAGGAATTTCACATAATCACCAAGTCCGCAGCTCCATATTTAGTCATACTAGTAATTTTTTGTCCCAGAATAATAAATGCATTTGATGTGTGTGTAGGCTAAGCTCTGGCCCCATAGACCCAACTCTGTTCAAGCTCCCCACCACAGTAAAAGTCTTTCCTACTAGACAGTATCAAAGTTGTCAAAGTGACTACAAAAGGAAGGGAGCTCAGACTTCAGGTCTGAGCGCAAGAGATCTCCCCCATGACCCTCAACTCACCTCGGAGAACTTGCCATCGCCAAACCACTGCACCCATCGCATGCCAGCCATGGCCTGGCGTTTGGAGGTAGCTTTCCAAGACACCACCATGGCAGGCCACCAAGAAAAGCCCTTTATTTTTCCCCACACGAGGTCCCCTATGCCAAACTCTTTCCCGTCCTGGAAGAAAAACCACATGAAGAAATCACAGTGATAAAGGAAGACCATTATAGTCAAATTCTGCTCACATGACTGATGCTGATGGCAATAATTAGCTTGTCATAAAGTGCGAGCACCAGTTTGGGGTAAGTAGAGTGCAGTGGTCAATTTTTTGGTCACACAATCCCCGTACAGTCATAAAATTGAAGGTACCCAATGGGCTTTTGTGTATGTGGGTTATACTTACATCTGTGTGTGTGTCTTTTGAGCTATATAGTTCAGGCTGGTCCTGAGCTTACTACAAAGCCCAGTCTGGCCTTGAACTTATGGTGATCATTCTGCCTCACGTGCCCAGGGCTGGGGTTACAGGTATGCGCCACCAGACCCGGCCTTAAGAGCTTTTCAGAGTATAAGCAAGGTCACCTCAGCACTGAGGTGGAAAAAAGTAGATCTCAAATTATTCCAGTATACCTGTTCAGGGGTGGCAGCCATGCCTGCAGTCCCAGCACACTGGGAGGCTGAGGAAGAAAGATCACAAGTTTGAGCCCAGCCAGGCCAGTACAGAGACCTCGTCTCTTAAAAAGTAAAGGACTGGGGGTGTAGTGCAGTGTGAAGACCCTGGGCCCAATCCTCGTCACTACAAATAAAGTATATTGACTTTACTCTGCAGAATTACACATAGGAAAAAGGCAGCTGGGCAGGGTGACGAATGCCTGTAATGCCAGCACTCTGCAGGCTAAGGCAGGAGGATCACCAGAAGTTTGAGGCCACGCTGAGCTACATAGCAAGGCACTGTCTCAAAACAAAAGCAAAAACAAGCAAACAAAAACCCAGCAATCTACCCATATCAGTACATGCAGGTACCAAACAGCTTCATGACTCAATGCTGTTGGCTAATGAAACTATGGTCTACACCTCCGGATGTATTATAGACACATGAGAGACAACTCTTAGCTCTAATTAAAAAGCCAGTGTATAATCAGATGTACATGAACAAACACATTATGTTTGTAATGTTTGTGACATCACATGTTACCCGCACAAACAGTACTTCCATCTACAACGACCAACGTATAGAAAATTAGTATTCACCTGCTAACTATAGTGCTTAACTTAGGACTGATAAATAGCAAAAAGGAAAGGCCATGTTACATATGGAAGGTATTAAATTAGAAAAATTGCCAGGCACAGTGGTTCATGCCCATAATTCCAGCACAATGGTGGCTGAGGAACAAGGATCACAAGTTCAAGGCTAACATGGACTACATACTGAAACCCTGCCTCAAAAATCCAAAACAATAAGCTGGGTGTCATGTTGCTGCCTGCAATTCCAGGACTTGGGAAGCTGAGGCAGGATTCCTTTGAGTTCAAGGTCAGCCTGGATACATAGCAAGACCCCTGTCTCAAATGAAAAAAAAAATTCTAAAATGAATAGAAATGAGCAAAATGGTAGCACCAGTATAATCACTGTAAGTTACCCCTACAGTGGGCAGTAACTGTTTTCCTTTCCTTATATTAAAGGTATTCAGATATATGCTTTTATGCACCTCATACTCCACGTCATCTGTGTGTCTGCCCTCGGCATCCACCTGAGAGGAGTCCAAGCTGTCTTGCTGGCTGTCCTGGGCCAGGCTGGTGTAAGGGGTACTGCTGCTCTGGGGTGTTACGTCGTCATCCGTGAGGTCGATGGTGAGGTAAGGGCTGGCAGGGGACGACCACGGCGTGCCTGCAGATGAAGTTGCCCGCCGCCTCAGGGACTGTGGACAGGAGACAGTTGGGACCCCAGTTAGGAAAGCAAGTGCGTGACAGACACCTGCACCCCCAGTGGGTTCCCCCACGCACAGAAAGGGCAAAGAAACAAGTGAAGAAGGCAGAAACCACGGAGGACAGTTTTCCAGAAGTTTCCCTGAACTGGTGGCAGAAAGTTGTTGTACCCATGCAGAGGTAGACACAGACTGGGGGATGCAACAACAGTAATAAGAGGCTGCAGGGGCTCAGCTCAGAGGTCAGTGGTTGAAACACCCATGGCACACTCAACCTGGCAAAGAGCAAAATCCGCTGGGCTCCCATAGGCAGCTGAAGGAGTTAAGGAGAGAGAGAAAACAGTTCTGGAATCAGTGGCCTCCAGCTCAATTCCAAGCTGAGGCAACAGCCCAGTGAATAGGAAATTTCCAGGTTGCAAGCATAGTTCCATCCAGGGCCAGGACAGAAGATAAGCTGCTGGCCTAGAAGAAGCTTACCGACACCCAGGAGAGAAAAGAAAAACAAAATGCTGACAACCAGGCGTGTGTGTCCTGAGAGGCCCCACAACACCTGCCATACAGCAGGGGACAAGAGGCAGGCAGACTTCCCGTCAGAGACTGGGGCATGGGGACCAACCCTGGTAGCCGGGAACTCCACGGGGGTCTCATCCATGTGACTGCGGCCCTGCCGGGCTCGGGTGGAACGTGGGGAGGGCCTGTACCTCTCCCGGCTGGAAGCACTGCTGTTATTTCGGGTTCGAACCTGGAAGTAAGATAGGATAAATGCTGCACCTCAGGTACCTGGAGGAATGAGGACTGCAGGAGGTGGAGTGTTCCATCCTGAGGTGGTCAGGGGTCCCTGGTGACCTCAGACCAACTGCAAGTGACAAGGTAATTAATTAACTTCCAGACTGACTTCCAGCTCAGAAGTTGCCCTGTTAAGTGTGATAAGATGGGCCGGGGATGTAGCTCAGTGGCACAAGCGCCTGCCTGGCAAGTGCAAGGTCCTGGGTTTGATCCGTGGTACCAAAAAAAAGTGTGATAAGAGGTGAAGTGGCCGTGTGACACACCTAGAACAGATCCTGCTCTGCTATCAATGAACTCAGAACATGTACCTGCAAACTGGGATTAACAAATACAATGCATGTTTAACCTAAACCTTTTTTTTCCAAAATAGAAGCATAAGGCCAACTATTAGTCTAATCAAGTCAGAAGTGCTTAAACCCTGTTTTCTCAAAATTGCCCCATTTGGGGTCCTGCAGCCCTATGTTCAAATTCTGTAGATGAGTAGGAGTAGATGTATAAGGTTGGGGAGGTTACTGGAACCTTCTCATGTGTCAAATGGGAATAAAACACCTCAAGCCTTGCAGGGGAGGTTATAGCCACAATTAGAAGTGTCTCTTAGGGGCTGGATGGTCATGAATGATAACGGCCTTCCCAATCCAGATCTCAGACTCCATATGTGACCCACAGATCAACCTGCAGGACTGAGAGGGCTCCCACAGGAAACTGATAGTGGAGTTATAGCCCTGTCAAACATCAACCCATTAGCCGGGCATGATGGCGCAAGCCTGTAATCTCAGCTGAGGTAAGAGGATGTTTTTGCAAGTTCAAGACCAGCCTGGGCTACCAAGTGAGCTCAAGCCAGTCGGAACTCCATAGCAAGACTCTGTCTCAAAAAGACCAAAAAATAAAATAAAATAAAATGCAACGAAATGAAATGAAATGAAATAAAATCAACCCAGGACAGATCTAAGAAAAAACTAAACATCTGCCATGAGGAAGAAAGGAACAGCGTGTGAACTGAAACAATCCACACAGGACAGTGTGTGGACCTTGTTGCCATCTTGCTGTCACCTGTGTTGTCTCCAATAGGGAGATGGCCGTTTTCTGTGCAGCACTGCGTGGTGGGAAGGGCCTCGGCTCAGCACGCGTGACAACTCACCGCTGGGCTTTCCAACGAAGTCCTGGTTTCACGGAAGAGCTTGGGCATCACTGGAGTGTCACAGCCATCTCCTTCCTCCCCCTCACCATCTCTGTCTCCATCACCAGTCAGATCCTTTGCAAAGGAAAGACAATGAACTTTTTTTTCAGTATTGGGAACTGAACCTAAGGGCTTTTCCCTGAACTCCATTCCCAGGCCTTTTGAGACAGGATCACTCTAAATGGCTAAATTGTCCAGGATGTGTTCTAATTTTTGATGCTCCTGCCTCAGCCTTCCAGAGTGCTAGAATTACATACAGTGTATACCACCATATCCAGCAAAAAGTTCATGAATTATATATCAATAAGTACATCACAACCAAATTAGCTTTTAAAAAAACTATAGAAATACATAATATTAAACTCTTGTTAAAGAGTCCCAATATTGTCTACCTAATTTTTCCAATGAGATATTTTTATACTTGAAAGTAGTCAATGAGGGCCGGAGATATAGCTCAGCAGCACAAGCACTTGGCTGGCAAGCACAAGGTCCTGAATTCGATTCCCGGTACAAAAAAAAAGAAAATGGTCGATCATATTGAAACCTACCATAACATTAATCCAACACTCAAAAATATTGTCAACTATCGTTTTATTTTGGTGGTACAGCCGGGGATACAGCTCAGTGGAACAAGTGACTGTGTGGCAAGCGCAAGGTCCTGAGTTGGATTCCCAATACCCCCCAAAAAATTTGGTGGTACTGAAGGTCCTACAGATGGAGCAAGAGCCTTACATGTACTAGGTGAGCACTCTAACACCCAGAGAGATTTTATTATAACGTATCTCCCCAAGAACACAAACTCAAGACAGAATTACCTTGAAAACAGCATAAACCCCACAGCAGCCACACATCACAGAAATGAGAGGAAGGCAATGCTGAAGACTGACCAACCAGCTACAGCCAGCAGGACAACCCATAGCACATGGGAAAAGACCCAACATTAACTGCACAAGGGGGATATTTCTTGCTTTGTTTTTTCTGGTACCGGGAATCGAACTCACGACCCTGCGCTTGCCAGGCAGGCACTGTGCCGCTGAGCTAAATCCCCAGCGTCCCCCGACCTTTTTTTTTTTGTCTTTTTGAGACAGGGTCTCGCTATGCAGTTCAGGCTGGCCTTGAGCTCACTTTGTAGCCCAGGCTGGTCTTGAACTCATGATAATCCTGCCTCAACCTCCCGAGTGCTGGGATTACAGGCATGCACCACCATGTCCGGCAAGGTGGATATTTCTTTATACAATAATTAAGCAACGTCACAAACTCTATATTATTCCCAGTACAAACCTCCATCCTCACACCAAATCAACACACCCAGAGAAGACAAAAAAAAAATGCAAACACTATCCAACCTAGAAAAGGTCTGGCTCAAGTGTTAAGAACTTGGCATAGGGGCTGGAGCTCAGCAGCACAGCGCCTGCCTGGCAAGCACAAGGTCATGAGTTCAATTCCCGGTACCAGAAAAAAAAAAAAAAGAAAGAGAACTTGGCATGGTGCCAGGCTTGTCTTAGCACTCAGGAGGCCCAAATCTGAGCCAGCCTGTGCCACATAGTTCAAGGCCAGTCCAAACTACATAATGAGACCCTGTCTCAAAAGAACAAAACAAAAGAACTTAGGTAGTCATCAACTCTATAGCCTTGTTCAAATTCACTCTCTCCCTTCCAAATAACAGGATTTCCTCACAACACAACTCAAACACTGGGAGCATCAAAGGTGTGCTTGTAAGGCACACCTGCAGTAAGGAATAACCAACATTCATTTATTTACATCTATCATGCTTAGCCCAGTGCCACATGCCACAAGGAAATGCTCGGGTTTTGGTCCAACAGTATAGTCATTGCCCAGCTCTTGGTTAGCACCTGGATTCCTGTACTAGCTGCCCATCAACACCAAGACAATGGGTGCTATACAAGGATGCATTTTCATTATTCATGACTATCTCAATGTCTGACCACAGCTCTTTGAAAAAACTAACCTGACAAAAGTCCACAAAGAGTAATTGTAAAACTGAAGGCATAAGTAAAAAACATGACAAAGCTTAAATTTTTAAAAAACTTGTGAAGTAAAACTGTTGAAAATCTCCTTGATAGGGCTGGGGATATAGCTCAGGGGCACAGCGCCTGCCTGGCAAGCACAAGGTCATAAGTTCAATTCCCAGTACCAGAAAAAAAAACAAAAAAAAGAAAAAACAAAACAAAACAAAACTTACAAAGAAAAATCTCTTAGAAGTAATGAACAAGTTTTTCCCAACTTATAAAAAATTCCAAAAAAATTTGAGGCCACATAACATGGTATCAAAACCACAGGCATTTACAGAAATAAAAAAAATCCTATGTAAATCTGAATCGGGAATAAATACATTTTTAAAAAATTAAGGACTAAGGTTGTAGCTCATTGGAGGAGTTGCCTAGCACTCAAGGTCTCTCCATTGTATTCCCCTCACTGTAAAACATTTTTATCAATGACCTCATAGGGCCTAATCCAGCAATAAGTGGGCAGCTTGTGTATTAGAGCTTTATTAATGCCCCTCTTCCTCCAGATTGAGCCTGTAATCCCAGCACTTTGGAAGGTGGAGGCAGGACGTTGCACATTTAAAACAAACTAGATTAAGATGTAATTTCAGAAATATAAAAGAAGTCTCCAACAAAACACAACTTTGTAATTTAGTAAAATACATGATGTGAAGTTTTAATAATTCACAGATGCCAACTTTTCCGAGCCTCCGGAGGGAGACCTGTGAGGAATCCGAAGGGAAACAGCCTTGAGCATGGGAACTGAAGTGGGAACCGTACCTGAGTGTAACTGAGCAGACTGGAGACCTCCCTCTTGGACAGCCGGGAGCTGGATCTGCGACCTACACAGAAAGAGTCAGAATCGGAGTTTTGAAGAGGCGGGCAGCACCTGGAGAACAGCCTTGGTGAGAGGAAATCCTCCCAGGGCTACGGCTCTAGGGTTTGCAAGTCTCAGCCCCCGGCCCCTGTCATGTATTCGCTGTGCAATGGGGCACAAGGCCAGGGACACAACAGGATAAACATTCCTGCAGGTACCGCGGAGGGGAGCTACAGAATTACTTAAGGAAGGTGCCGTAAAATTCCATCGCCACAAGCTGCAAGTAAACCATCACTGCCTGTCCTACGTGCCCACTTCGCGTGCTCAGGTGTATGGACTGTCTATCATAGCGGACAGTACAGCCACGCACTGTTCCCCCACCCAGAAAGTTCTGCTGGAGGACACACATCTCAAGAGGAACAGGAAGACACTCCAGAGCGGTCCAAGGCAGCAGGTTCTGAACTGGGAACCACTAGGGAAAGGTGTAGGAACTAAGCCCCAGAATCCCCATGCCTGGCTCTACCTGTGCCACATACTCTACTGCCAGCTCAGAGGGGAAGGACTCGTACTGCAAAGAGGCCAAAGATCCCAGCCTGTGCCAGAAGCATTCCTGCGGAGCCGGCAGAGGCGCAAGGGACCGTAGCTCTCCCTGTCCCCTCTCTTCAGAGTCATTAACTGAGAGCTCAGAGGTAGGCAGAGATGTGCAGGTTTCTGGCTCTGCCCATACCTTCACAAGCGCCATCCTCTGCCTTCTGAGGCTGGGTGCAAGGTACCCGTGTACCTCTCCCCAAAAGCAAAGCCTGCAGGAGATCTGCAGTGACCGCCCACTGTGTCAACCCTGGTCCCACCCAACTCCCATTGGCCCAGCCACCTCTGATCTCCGGGGTGCGGATGGCCTCCAGGATTGGGGGCGAGGGGGCGTCCTTGGAGTCGGAGGACTGGTCGCTGCAGGCCCCGTTGACGATGATAATTGAGTCATCCCTCCCGCTGGTACCCTCCTCTTCATTGAGGTGTCTGGTGTCTCCCTTCATTGTTTCCTGTGGGAGAAGCCAGAATGGTAGGGGAGCAGGCAGTTAGTGGTGCCAGGAGGCAACACACCCCCATGCTTCCTGTCATTGGCTCTATGTCCTCAAGCGCAGAGGCCCATGACCTGATCTCTGAGTGACATCCTGCCCGGGAGCCCACCCAAGCTGCCCCCCATAGCCTGCCCCCTCACCAAACTCGGAGGCTCTGGACTTGGTTCCATGTGGCCAGGCGGCCCCGAAGGCTCAGACACCAGCACCCAGGACAGAGGAGGAGGCCAGGGGCTGGCGTTTGAGGCTCAGGCTACTCTGCGCAATTAGCCGGCTCCTTCAAACAATGCCATTTAGGACCTGCTTGGCCTGACCGGCCAGCAGCCAGCCTGAGATCCCCCTGGCCCTGCTATTTTCTCCCTGCCCAGCCTCTGCAGGGCCTCAGGAAGCCAGTGCATTATTTTCCCTCCTGACCCCTTTGTTTGCTCTCTCCCTTCTCCTCAATCTCCAGGTCCTCTTCCCCCGCCCCTCCTCCCCTACAGAACAGCTTCTCTCCTCTCCATGGCAGCACAAGCCCCGCCCCACCCCATCCTCGGGGGCCCATTGGTCTGCTGGCCTATCGCTCACTTGCCTCCCTCACCAGCTGGGGCTCCTAGTCCCAAGTTCCCAAGAAGATGGAGGAGAGGCAGAGGGCAGGGGGTAGTTAAAAGGAGAGGCAAGCAAGCCCATGGTCTTCTCCAGCCTCGCCCGCCCTCCCAGCTGTGTTGCTTCATCACTGTCCCTTCTGGTGCCTGCATTATCCCCAGGTAAACCAGGCAGGTTCGGAGCCATTCTGCATAGAGCGGTTGACGGGCTGTAGGACCTCAGGACTGGCCCACTGTCTGCAACACTGGGCACTAAGCACCTATACCTTTGTAAAGGTGCTTGTAGGCCCATTTTACAGAAAAAGAATACTAATAGATCAGATTCATTTCCAGGATTTAAAAGAAAAAGCAAATCTTATCAAACTGGGTATTGTAGCACACACCTTACTTCTAGCACTCTGGGAAGAAGAGATGTGACCACAGGTTTGAGCCGAGCCTGGGTAACTCAGCTCACTATCTTCAAATAAAAAATAATAAATACATAAATAAAAAACAATGAAGACATAGCTCAGGGACATGGCGCAGTGTGAAGGCCCTGCTTCAATCCCCAGTAACGCCAAAAAAGTTTTAAGTCACATCTAGCATGGCTGTAATCCCAGGAGTACCACCTGGGGTTTGGGGTCAGTAGGGCTACACAGTGAGGGCAAGGCCAGCATGAGCTACACAGTTGACCTTGTCTCTAAAAAACACGAGAAAAAGTCACATCGAAGGCTGGCGCCTTCTACACGATAGAGCTCTTGCCCAGTGTGCACCAGGCCCTGGGTCAATCCTCACCACATATGCCTACAAGAGGTAAACTGGAATCAGCTTTACACCAGGTAGGTGAACAGCCCAACTTAGACCATAATTTCCAAGCCTTGGCTTTTTTAAATTCTGTTTTCCAAAAAGAAAGCCTAGGCATGGAGTGAGGCTCTAGGACACTTATTTTCTCTCCAAAGAGCCCCAAGAAAGCACTCAGGACATACCCTCCTATCCTGGAACTCTGCCTGGGAAAACTCTTCCCAAAAAAGCCACTGGCTGTCTAAGACACGCCTTTGCCCTGCTGACCCGTACTTGAGACTCACCAGGTTCATCCAGACAGGGGCTCTAGACTTCTGGTACCTTCTAGAAGCTTTAACTGCGGGGGAGGGGGGGGCGGGGGCGCTGGCTAGTAGATGCACTTGTGCAGTGTCCACCAGGGGGCGCCACGGGATGCAGTTTGAAGAGGCACGTGACACCCCCAGGAGGATTTACAGTATGAGCCAGATTTGAGGTACTATGTCTCCTAGGGACCCATTCCATCCTTTGATCAAGCCCACCCCAAGCATAGTCCCCTATTTCCCCATGGGACCCAGGACCAATCACCCATAGACTAGCTACTTCGAACTACAGAATCTCAGGCACCATCATACCCGACCCTGTCAGCATTTTAACTAAACTTTACCAAGGTTTCAGGGTGATTAATATGCATATTAGAAAAGCATTATTATTATAAAAGAGATATAAATTAGAATAGGCAGTATGCAATCAGTTTGAACTTCCTCAAAAAACTTAAGAGCCAGGTGGGACAGGGATATAGCTCAGTGGCAGAGTTCCTGCCAGGCAAGCACATGGTCCTGAGTTCGATTTCTGGTACAAACAAAAGCCATGTATGGTAACACACACCTATAATCTCAGCACTCGGGAGGCTGAGGGAGACCACTGCAAATTCAAACCCAACCTGGGCTGCATAGTACCTTCTAGTCCACCTGCACTAGAGATGCTCTCTCAAAAAAACTAAAAATAGAGCTACTATTTAATCCAGCTGTACAACCCCTTGCTATGACAAAGGAATTAAATTCAGCATACATTAGGAATTCCTGCACACCAACCTTACTGTGGCACAATTACAATAGCCAAGATATGGAGCCAGCCTAAAGCCCATCAACAGATGGAGCTGGGCATGGTGGCCCACACCTGTGACCCCAGTATTCTGTGAGATAGGAGGATAGTAAGTAGGAGGATAATAAGACCAAGACTAGCCTGGGCAACTTAGACTGTCAAAATAAAAAAACAGGAAAAAAAAATTGAAAATAAAATAAAATAACAGGGCCAAAGATGTAGCTCAGCAGTATAAGTGCTTACCTGGCTAAGCCTGAGGTCACAAGTTCGATTCCTGGTACAAAAAACAAAACAAACAAAAACAAAAACAAAAAAATTTGATGGTAAAACTTTAAAAAAAAAAACCCCAAAGAATGTAGCTTATCACTGAGGCCATTGGCTCAATCCCTAATAACCCTGAAAAACAGAAGCAAAAACAAAACACTACAGATAAAGGCAAAAAGTGGTGTATATATATATATATATACACACACACACACACACACACAAATCATAAAGAAAAATTTATTCATCCATAAAAGAAAATTTGGTTATTTAAAAGAAAATGGGCTGGGCGTGGTGGCACACGCTTGTAATCCCAGCACTGAGGAAGCTGAGGCAGGAGGATCATTGCAAGTTTGAGGCAGCCTGAGCTACAAAGTGAGTTCAAGACCAGCCTGAGCAGCATGGTGAGACCCTCTCTCAAAAAAAAAAAAAAAAAGCACCAAGAAAATGGATGAAGTCAGGTGTGGTGGCACACACCTGTTATCCCAGCAGTCAGGGAGGATCCTTGCAAGTTCAAAACCAGCTTGAGCTACAAACTGAGCTCAAGGCCAGCCTGAACTGCAAGTGAAACTGTCTCAAAAAGACAAAAAGAGGGGCTGGGGATTTAGCTCAGCGGCAAAAAGCGCCTGCCTGGCAAGTGCAAGGTCGTGAGTTCGGTTCCCGGTACCGGAGAAAAGAAAAAAAAAAAAAAAAAAAAGACAAAAAGAAAATGGATGTATCTGGATAGATCACCATGTTGAGCAAAATAAACCAACCAGACTTGGAAAACTGACAAATGTTGGATCATGGTGACACACACCTGTAATTCTAGCACTCTGAAAGACTGACACAGGAAAATTCCAAGTTCAAGCCCAGCCTAGGCAATTGAGCCACTTAGACCTGTCTCAAAGAATGCACACAGTGGGCAGGGGCTTATGGCTCAATGCTAAGGCACTGGGTTCAATTCCTAGTATTGCACAAAGGACAAATATTGCACATTCTCCCTAATATAATCAAAAAACACAGGAGCCTATCACTGAACAAGAGAAAAGGAAAACAGAGCTCAAATCCAAAGCTAGTATAAGGAAATCATAAAAAACCAGAAGAAAATTAATAAATTGAGATGTTAGAAAAACCCAGCACTCAAGATCATCAGTAGTTTAAGTCCAGCCTGAATACACTGTGAGGTCAAGATCAGCCTGGAGAACACAGCAAGATCCTGTCTCAAAAACCGTTTTTTAGAAAACAAAAACCTGTACTCAAACAAATTGAAAAACCCAGAAGAAATGGATAGATTTCTACATACATTATGAATTACCAAAACTGAACCAAAAATAAAAACCATGAATAACCAATAACAGGCAATAAAATTGAGACAGTAATAAAAAAAAAAAAAAAACTACCAACAAAGAAAAGCCCAGAACCAGATGGGCTAACCGCTAAACTCTACAAGAACTTCAGAGAAAACCTCACATTACCACTCTTCAAACTCTAATGAAAAACTGAAAGGGAAAGATTATCACCAAACTCAGCCTTAGAAGCTAGCTTCCAAGACAGAGTCAACTAAAAAAGAAAACTACAGGACAGTTTCTTTAATGATCATAGATGCAAAGATCCTCAACAAGATAATGGCAAATAGAACACAACAAATCATTAAAAAGATTATACACCACGACGGGTATGGTGGTGCATACATGTAATCCCAGCACTTGGGAGGCTGAGGCAGAAGGATCATTGCAAATTCAAGGCCAGCCTGGGCTACAAAACTGGGCTCAAGAACAGCCTGAACTGCACAGCAAGACCCTGTCTCAAAAGCACACACACACACAAATAGACTAGCCTGGGTTACACAGTGAGTTGAAGGCCAGCCTAGACTACCATAGGAAGATCCTGTCTCAAAAAACAAGCAAAACAAAATCGTAACCAACTAAGACTTCACCCCAGGGATGCAAGTATATTTCAAAATATGCCAATCAATAAATGTAATACATCATCATAAATAGGACAAAAAACCCTATTCTCTACAGATATGGAAAAGGCCATATCTGGCCTTTTCATTCTCTACAGATATGGAAAAGGTCTTCGTTGAAATAGTTGGTTCATGATAAAAAACCCTGAATAGGTATAGAAGTACCTTATCTCAATTTGATAAAAGCCATTGATGACAAACCTACTGCCAATAGTTTATTAAATGTTTTTTGTACTCGGAATCGAACTCAGGATCTTGTGCTTGCCAGGTAAGCTCTTGTGCCACTGAGCTATATCCCCGGCTGCTAA